GCCTGCGCTGCAACAGCCACCCGGCAAGCACTCCTGCAAGGCGCCGAGCGGCGGCGGCGCCCCTGCAGCCTGCTGCAGCAAGGCGCAGGTCGTCTCACCGCTTGCCGTGCCGCCTGCGACGCCGATGAAGAAGGGCTCGTTGCGGTGGCCGCGCCCCGCCCCTCTGTGCGGGCTGCCTCCAGAACAGACGCTGTCTGTATCGAATTGGCCGCTGATCCCTATGCTGAGGCCCATCCCTGACGACGATCTCGAGGTGGTGTGCACCAGCAGCTTGCTGGTATTGGCGCTGCCATCGGCGGCGCCCGCCTTGCCAAGCCCTCTCTGCCAATCAAGCATCTTCAGGCGTGTAGGTCGACTCCCTTGTGCATCAATTCAATGCTGCTGGGTCCGGGAGCGCCTGTTTGCGAACTAGCACATGCCTGCTGCTCCGCTTCAGGGCTTAAAGGGTGCAGAGAGTGCTGGTAAAACAGCAGGGATGCAGGTTGGTCAAGGAGAGCAAGGGGGCTTGGCCCCCATCCCCCTGTGCAGAGGACAGCGCGCGCCAAGTCAGCGGGCGGATGCGGCGGGAAGGCAAGCACTGTCCAGCAGGAGCGAAAATGCAGGTCGAATAACAAGCAGGAAGAGAGTCCCGTCATGTTCTGTGAACGGTCATGTTGGCGATGCTTCGAGCGGTGCACCCCAAGCAGTTGGAAGCCTTGGTGATGCCGCTGCCAAAGGCACTAGTTTGCACGCCGCCCTGGCAGCACCCCGCTCATTCACGTCACTCACTGCAATTAGGGGGTGCAGGTGAGCAGCGAGAGGACAGTTAGGCGACAACGTGTATCACAAGGGCACCTTAGGCATCCCCTCCTGTGCCCAAATGCAGTGCCTCCATCAGTGCCCCGTCAAACAGCAGGCGGCCACAAAGCCAGCAGGCGGCTCCAAACTTGCCAGAAGTATCGATCTCCCTGCGGCAAAAGGCAGACACAAGGTTAACTACCCGACCCCAACCATGCAAGGCCCCCTGGCTACAACACATCTGCCCTCCCGCCTGCCATACCACTCACCCACTCGCCAACGCCTGCAGGGCCACACATGAGGGCACTGTGCTCAGCACAACCCGCACAGCCCTTGTGCTGCTGCGCGCGCCAGGCCCGGCCTGCCTGGGAGTGCGTGCGGCAGGCCCCACGTTTGCCCACCCGCACGCGCCGCCAGAGCTTTGTTGCCAGCGTGCGCATCATGCGGGCGCAGGGTGCAGAAGCACCACCAGCCCACCTGGCACCACGTGGTACTCCTCCATGCCTTCATCAATCTCCGAGGTCAGCACCTTGATGCGCGGGTGCGCGCCGCACACGCGGCGGATGCCCTCCGGCGCCGCGGTGACAGTCAGGAACAGGATCTTGCTGTCCTGAACGCCGTTCTCCAGCAACACCTGCACAACGGCAAGGGGACGGGTGGTAGGGGTGAGAGTAGGAGGCAAAGCGACCGCAGTGGCAGCTAAACAGGCAGTCAGGTAGCACCAGGCATCGATGTCGTGTCAGCGAGCAGCACTGGCCAGATTCTAGCAGGGCAGATCGGGCCGCTCCACCAGGCCGCGCTGCAGGCGCCTCGCACCAACCTGGATGGCGCGCAGCGCAGAGGTTCCGCTGCCCAGAATGGGATCCATCAGCATCACAAACCGGTCCGCAATGTCCGCCGGCAGCTTCTCGTAGATGATCTCCTGCTCCACCTGCCGCTGGCTGGCACACACGCCGCTGCTGGGCCGCCGCGCGGACACCTGCTGCGCCACAGGGGCATCTGAGTCTGCTGTGACGCTGGCACTGCTGCTGGTGTGGCGGTGGTGCACGGGCTGCGCCGGCGGCGCCGGCGGCGCCGGGGCGGCCTCGCCGCCAGACGCGGGGCCGTTCAGTGGCAGGCCCAGCGGGGACGGCGCGGCGCTGCTGCTGGCGCTCTCACCACCCGCCGCCTTCAGGGCGGGCAGCTTGCTTGGGCTGGCGGTCAGCTTGGGGTCGCTGCCCGACCGAGGCACCTGCATGCTGGCCCACACCTTCTCCCTGCACTCTCCCAGGGGGCAGCACACGCACGGCAGTGGTCATGAGTGGCTGCAGAGTGTGCGGTGCAACATGCCAGTCCCTGCTGCTGCATGCAACTAATCAGCTGTGCCAGGTTTGCTCCAAGCACTTCTGCCTCCCGCCCGCCCTGCGCTTGCGCCCCGCTCCCGCACCTGTGCACCAGGATCTTCCCAATCTTGATCCCCTTGCAGCAGGCCCGCAGCGCATTCTCCATGCTCTCCCCGCTGCGGATGATGCTCACGCCGCACAGCTTCTTGGCAAAGTCCACCCCAACATACTGGTGCCCCGTGGGCGTCACCACCGTCTTCTCGGCAAAGGGCAGGTGGCCCAGCCCCGCCTCCACCACCTGCCGGGCGGAGGGCAGGCGGCGCCGGGGGCGGCAATGTGACAGCAGCAGGCAGGGCCGCCAGCATGAACCTGCTTCTGGTAGGCGGCTTGCGCACCTGCCACGCCGCCATGCGGGGCAGGCGCCGGCGCTGCCAGCGCTGCCGTGTACGGCATGCATGGCGCTGCTGGCATGCACAGCGCCGCCTCACCAGGCGCAGCAGGCGGTCGGCGTAGAAGACAAAGTCGGCGTGGTGGGTGGTTCTGTCGCGGATGATGGTGTGCATGCCACGGATCTGGTAGTTGGTTGGGATCACCTGCAAGGCATCGGGACAGGGGCAGTCGACATGAACAGGCAGTAACTTGGAGAGCAGGAACAGAGACAGACTGGGAGGCGGCCGGCGGGTGCCCGGGAGGCGACGGCAGCAATGCTGCGACAGCAGGACACCGAGGCTGCTGCTGCGCGGCTGCTGCAAAGGCGACAGCAGGGACCGCCCCACCTCCAGGTTTGGGTAGATGCGGCGCAGGTCGTGCTGCTGCAGCTTCATGCGGATGTGCTCGGTGATCAGGTCGATGGCCACCACATTGTCGCCCCTGCGGCAAGGCGGGGCAGCCAGGGCAGCGATGGTGCCGCTTCAGCAGCTCGTATGAGCGCTGAAGCTGGAGCCAGGCAAGGAACGCGCAGGTGTGAGCAATGCGCACACCTGCTGCCAGCCCGCCCACCTGGCCCATGGGATGATCACGTCAGCAAACTTGCGGGAGGGCGCAACATACTGATCAAACGCTGGCTTGACGAATTTGGTGTACTGGTCAATCACGCCAATCACATCGCGCCCCCGCACCGCTACGTCACGCTGGATTCTGCGCAGCAGGACGGGAACGATACATTTGAGCCAGAGCACAGCGGGTGCGTGACCCTGGCCTAGCCCTCTCCCGAGGCCCACCCTCCCCAGCTCCCCCACTCGCACCTGCGCGCCAGGCGCACGTCGTCGTCTGTGTCCACATACACCTTCATGTTGAGCATGGCGCGGATCTCCTCCATATGCAGCACCAGGATGCCCTCGATGATCACCACGTCGGCGGGCATCACCCGCCGCGTCTCCGAGCTGCAGGGCAGGCGGGACGGCAGCAGAGAGCAGGCGGGGAGAAGCTGGAGGCCACAGGGCCCTGCCAGATGTCGCTAGCAGCTCCAAGGGCACCCTGCCCACCAATCTATACCCACCCCACCTGCGGCTGTGTGTCGTGAAGTCGTAGATGGGCACGTCCGCCGGCCTGCCCTGCTTCAGCGTTGCCAGGCACTCCATTATAGCCTCAGAGTCAAAGGCCTCGGGCTTGTCAAAGTTGTACTCTGGAAGAAACGAAGAAAGGAAGGGATGGAGGAAGGAAGACAGGCAGGCAGGCAGGACGAGACGGCTTGAAGGGATGAGACGGCACCGGAATGAGGTGGGAGGGCCATGGCAGCAAGCCTTACAGGCTGGAGGGAGGTGCCTACCCTTGATGTTGGCGATGTCCTCCTGTGTGAGGCTCTTGTAGAAGGAGTCCTGAAGGCAAGACAGGATCGAGCGAGTGCCGCAGTAATCCGACACATGGCCTGCTGGCAGCGCACGGCTCATGCCACACCTGCCTGCCCGCCTGCTGCCCACCCTACCTGCGCCAGCATCACCACACTCTGCTCCTGGAGCCGCTGAATGATGAGGTCACACACTGCAGGGCCAATGGCAGGCAGGCAGGCAGGCAGGCAGGCCAGCGAGGTAACAAGCAGGCCAATCCCACAGGCGGCGAACCAGCCGGCCATATGCTGCATGCTACCCTGGCAGCTGGCTGGCTGGTGCGACCCTGAGCCCTCACCCGTGGTCTTGCCTGCATCAGCACGGACCAAAAGGCTGCTGAGTTAGCAGCAGAGCAGTGGCAGGGGTTGCTGTTCGGCCTGGCAAAGCAGCGCGCATGCTGATGTTGAGGGGCACAGAGCAGGGACCTGAACCACCCGCTGTGGCAGCCCCATGCTGCGCGGTCTGCAGCAGGATCCCAGCACGCCCCATCCTGCGTGCACCGCAGAGCGTGCAGCTTGCGCACCCGAGGCTGTGCCCCCTGCCACTCCGATCAAAAAGGGCTCGGAGCGGGTGGTGCGCCGTCCGCTTCGCCGCGCCGAGGCGGGGCTGTCTAGCGAGCTGGGGCAGCGCTCCAGCACCAGGCTCTGCATCATGCCGTGTAACGGCGTCCCCATGGCGCCGCGCAACTAGCCACCGACACCCACGGGCCCCTTGCTCAATCTGCGGCAGTGGCGGCGGGCAGCGGCGGCGGGAGGCTCCGCGGCGGAAAGTCAGTCATCGGCCGAGGGGTGCAACGCTCCTGGTGGCTGGAGGAGACGACACAACGCTTGAAAGCCAAGGGAGACGCTAGAGGGGATGGCAGCCGGGCACCTCTCAGGGGGATGTGTGTGGGCTGCGAATCGTGATCAAGCAGCTTCGGTGATGTCGGCGCGTGCAACAGGAGGCTGTGCCTACTCGCCGGGCATCACTTGCGTTTGATGTCGCCTGACAAAGCGCTCTCACAGCAACATACCTGCTGACTTACTTGAGCGACCGTTCGATGCGCAAAGCAATGATCGTCAAATTGAGGGGTGAGGTTGATCCCGCCAACTAAGCGCCGCCATCCCGCATCCCCGCTGCCACCTGTCCACTCCTGTGCTGTCCACTCCTCTCCTCCATCGTCGCACTGGCTTACACACGCACAAGACAAACACAGACACGCACGGGTGAATGCATGAGGCCGCAGAATGGGGGGACCTCAATAACGTTGAATTGCAGGGGGAAGGGGAGTAGTAAAGGTCAAAGGTGCGGCGATGGCGTAAAAATTGCATGCAATAATGCCAATGCGCTTGCATGCAATGATGCCAATGCTTTTGAATGCAATAATGCCGATACGTACGAGTAGCCGCCCGGAGGCCGGTTGTTGTGGAGGGGGCGTGAGGGTGGGCAAAAGAAGGGGGAGGAGGGATGACGAGGGCGCCCCACCGCAAGCGGAGGGGTGCCATTACCAAAAGCGCTGGCTCAGTGGGGATAGATCAGGCAGCTATGGTGGCAGGTTCCAAGCAGACCAGCCTTAGGGGTGTGGCGGCTGCAGGTCTTGCCTGGCAAAGGAGCCTGGGTGATCAGCATTGGGTGATGCGCCTGACGCAAACTGAGAAAGCCGGCACTGACAACGGCACATTTTGGAATGAAATGGGGCGGAGGCGCATGCTGAAGAGGGGAAGGCCACCGGCAGGTGGACAGATGGGCGGGAGGCGAGGGCCGGGCGCAGCATCCTGCGTGCAGCTTGCGTGCGCCCTGGCCCTTGGAGAAAGAAAAAAAGGAACTGAAAACAAGAAGGGTCGTCCACCGGATCGGCACTGCAATGCAATTCGCAATCCCGAGGGACTCAAATCAAAAGGGCAGTGGCAAAACACAAGTATACTGTCGTTTGTTGCAAGGTCGGTGGCAGAGCTATGGACGGGAAGCTGCCGTGGCTTGGAGCGGGCACCAGGACACGGCGGCTTTGAGCTGGGGACATGGGATAGTAGCGGGGTGTAGGTTGTGAGTGTGTGTGTGCATGTGTGTGCATGGGGCATGGGGAGACACTGATTGGGGGTAGAGACATCCGTCGTCGCTCGAGGGCAAAACCAGCGAGCAATAATGCATCGTTATGCTCAGAGGGAGAGGGTTGGAAAAGGTCGTGTGTTTGATTCGCTAGCAATGCGTGAGTCTGCCGGCCAAGGGAGCAAAACGGGAGGCAGTAGGGATGAGAGGGCGCCCTGCAATGGATGGCGGCTGTAGGGAGCAGCTTGTGCCGGCCTGGTGCCGGCGCTGCGGGGCTGTGGCCCGGCGGCCCTGTGAGGCTTAGCACACCTCGGCTACCTCCCCCAGCAGCAGGGCCGCCAGCGAAGGGTCCTTGTGCATGACAGGCGCCTCCGCTGTGCGGCGCAGCCCAGAGGTGGGCATGGCGGCAGACGGGGCGCCGCCGTGTGCAGCCAGGCGTGAGACCGACCACGCGCGGCGCATGCCGTTGTCGCACTGCACATGGGGAGGGGCGGGGGTGTGGGTTTGCTAGGTGAAGGGCCGCGAGGCACAGGAGGCCACGCGTCAGGCGCTAGCCGGCCGCCAAGTGCCGCAGGGTTGGGAGCGCCGACTGGAGGGCAGCAGCCCAGGCAGGGCGCAGGTGCCACCACAGGCCGCCGGCTGGGCCGCCTGGGCTGGGCGGCAGCCACGTCCAGGCAGGCGGGCAGCCGCGGGGGCAGCAGCCAGGGCAGCGGCCGGGGAGGCGGGCGGGCACTCACGTGCGGCAGGTCGTTTGTGAGCAGCTCCAGCGGCTCGTGGCGGTCGGAGGGGCTGTTAACACGCCACAGCGCGCGCATGCCCAGAGCCTGCAGGTAGGCGCGCTTCTTCACCAGGCGCCAGCGCTTGACAAAGGAGCGGTTCCACTCCTTGGTGCCGGCAGCCACATCAGAGGGCAGCGGCTGCAGCAAGCGGGGGCAGGGAGCAGGGAGCGGGAGTGAGGGTGAGTGAAGGGTGGGTTGGTGGGTCCCGGCTGGGACGGGGAGGCGGGGAGGGGGTGGCGGTGTGAACATGCGAGCTGCTCATGCCGGCAGCGTCGGCAGGGGAACGCAGCACACCTTGCGGGCACGCTGCGGGACCGCGCCGCCGCCTGCCGAGCCGTTGGTGCTGCTGCGGCGGCTCAGGCCGCTGGCGGGGGCGCTGCCGCCCAGCTGCACAGGCGGCGGCAGGTGGCCGCCCGCCGCCGCCGTCCCAGCACTCCAGCTGCTGGAGCCAACCCCTGGCACCGCCGCCGCGGCTGGCACCGCCGTGGGATGGCCGCCGCTGGCGTCGAGGCCGGGAGCCCAGGCTCCGCTCGCCAGCGGCGGCATCGCCGCGTCCTGCCTGCCAGCCGGCTGCTCGGCGCTGCCAGTCATGGCCAGCTCCGAGTCGCCCACAAGCATGCCCGCAGGGGAGGCGCCAGCCGGGTGCGGCGCTTCCGCCGCCAGCGCCTCTAGTGCCGCAGTGAGCAGCGTGGGGTCCAGCCTGCGCGGGGCGGGGAGAAGCGGCGGGCAGGGGCGACGGCGCGTCAAGCGGCCAGCCGTGCTGGTTGCGGGGGGATGCCTGCACGCGCCAGGGCGCCAGCGAGGCGGCCGCGGGACAAGAGGGAGGGGTGGCCTGCTGGCCAGCGCGCCCCGCAGGCTCACCCGCCAATCTGCGGCACATTGCGAGCAGGGGCTTTGCCGGGAGGCGCGGGAGGGAACTTGGTGACACGCCCCGCCCATGAGCCCACCTGCACACGCGCACACACAAGCACACACACATAATGCAGCATGCTCAGCCAGCTGATTGCCCCAGCACAATGCACGCGCAAGGCTGGCCGGCAGTGGCCAACGACAGCAGCAGCGCGCGCCTGCTGCGGCTGCGGGTGTGGCTGAGCTGCCGCCTCATCGTCAGCGGCGGGCGCCACAGGTGCACAGGCCGGGGCGCCGGGGCCAAATGGATCTGCCATGCCAGCAGGGTGTCCGCCCGAGGAGCTCAGCTGCAGGACAGGCGGCGGCACAACAGGCGGATGCGCAGGTCAGGGGGTGGTGTGCAGTGGCGCTTGCCGGCAAGGCTGCACGATTGCAGGGCAGCAATGCAGGCCGCTCTCGCCCAGCCGCTCACCCCGCCAGGCGCGGCAGTGACACCCATCCAGTCGCCGCTGCCGCAGCCCGCTGCCTCCGCCCCCGCGTCGCCGCCCACCACCGCCAGCCCCCGATACGTGCGCTGCCCGCTGGCAGACGTCTGCACCAGGTCCGCCTGCTGGCTGCTGCCGCCGCCGCCGAGGTGCTGGTGGCTGCCGCTGGCTCCGCGCACCGAGCTTTCGCGGGTGCTCGCCCTAACTGAGTTCTCGCGGGTGCTACGAACAGAGCCGGCACGCACGGAGCTCTCACGGGACAGCGCCAGAGACAGGCCGCCCATGGGCTGCCTGCAGCAGAGGGAGGCGGGGGGGCAGGAGGTGGTGAGGGGGGCAGATGGCGGAATCGGGGGGCGCAGCGCGGCAGGGTGCTGGGTTTGGCGCACAAGGCTGGGCCCGGCGTGCCGTGCAGGGGTTGTCAGCAGCGCAGCGTGGCAGCAGGCGGGCATCGCTGGGGCTCAGGGCGAAGTACCTCTTGCTGCTGCGGTACGATGCGTCGCGGGAGGCGGCCGCGCTGCCGGCCGCCGACGTGCCGCGCAGCTGCAGGCTGAGCAGGGACACCGCTGCAGAGGCGGGCGTGCCGCAGCCGCTGTCCGGCAGCGGCGGGCTGCTGCCGCCGGGCTGCGCGGTGGGCGGGATGGGCTGGCCGCTGTCCTGCATGCCGCATGGCGAGGCCGACGCGGGCGCTGCTGCTGCGGCGGTGGCAAAGGCTGTGGCCGGAGGCGATGCCGGGGCCTTGCTGCCCTCGGACGAACCAGAGCTCCTCCTCTGGCTGCTGCGCTGGCTGCGCACGCTGCCGGCCCTTTGCGCCTCTGGCACAGGCATCAGTGCGGGGTGCCAGAACATGGAGGGCGGCGGCGACTTGGGGCGTTTGGAGCGCTTCTTGCGCGCGCCGCCCGCCGCCGGCGCCGCACTGCTGCCCCTGCTGCTCACCGTGCTGCCGCTGATGGTGCTGATGCCGCTGACGCTGCTCATGCGGCTCAGCTCGCTGCTGTGCCGGCTGCCATCCACACTGGGAGGCACGCCCGCGTCAGAGCCCTGGAGCGATGCCAGGCGATGCGTGGGAGGGCCGCTGCTGGAGCCGGCCTCGTCAGCCACCAGAGAGCTGTGTATGGAGGCGGTGGCGGAGTCGTGGGACAGGCCAGAGGGCTGGGAGCTGCTGGGCTGGCTGCTGACGCGCTGCAGCTGCGGTGGCAGCGTGGGGTCTGGGCTGACCGGCGCGCGCGGCCCGCTGCCCGCCACCGATGGCCGCATGCCCTGTCCCAGCGGCTGCGGTAGCGAGCTTGGGCGCACCTCACGCTGCACCGGGGCGCTTGCTGCTACAGGCGGCAGGCTGGCTGCTGTGCAGGCGCCGTGCAAGGCGGCGGCATCCCCTTCACCGTCGCCGACGGTTGGCACGCTGCTGTTCTCCGCCTGTACGTGTTCCGGCTGCGCCCCGGCACACTGATCTATGCTGCCCTGCAATGCTGAGCCTTGCCGGGGGCCCTGCAAGTCGGCCTGCGGCCCAGGCAGTGGGGTGGGCTGCGTACCCTGGGTGCTACCTTGCCTGTCCTGCTGGCTGGCATTCCCATGCCTCCCAGACCTGCAGGCGGGCGGGAGCAGCGGAGGTGAGGGCCCACGACACGCACAGGCGGGCACGGCCGCCATCGAAACCGTGCATGACGGGCCCGCCGCCTCACCAGCTCTTGTCCAGAAGCTCCACAGCACGCTGTCCATCATCATTTCCGCCGCCAAAGACGGCTGTGAGTTTTCGGAGCAACTTCATGCCGCCCCGGCCCCTGCGGTCGCTCAGCCGCTCTGGAGGCTCCCAGGAAGCGCCCACGATTTATTTGCGGGTCATGGCGGTCCAAACAAAGCACGATTGGAGTGTTCGGGAGTGGCGGCCACGCAGCAAGTCTCAGTGCAGCAGGACCACACAGGCGGAAACACAGCGATGAAACTGCGCAAGCACTTGCTGAACTCTGGCTCAATCCACAAATGGGAGAGGAAGGCTTCACGTATACGCGCGATTAGTAGAGAGGGGTTGCAAGCCGAGGACGAATGGCGCTACACGCCGCCGGCGGCATGCGAGTGGCCGAAATGATGGCAGCGCCCCGCAAACACACGATTCAAGCCTTGCAGCAGGCCTGGGCCTCTGATCGTGGCCGCCGCCGCATGCCTCCACGGGTGACAGGCACCACAGGCCTCCTTCGCCGCCCCTCTGCCTTGTTGCAGCACCTGCGCATCGTATCATGGGCGTCTGGGCCGCGGCAACACGCTGCAAGCCTCTGTGTGGCCTGCTCCGGCACAGTGCCAGGCGGCGGTTGCGGCGCGCTGGTGGCAGGGGCCGCTTTGCAAATGAGTTACAATGCATCAGTGGGTGCCGTATCACGGGTGGCCGCTTGCAGCTGCAGGCAGGCGCCACCACTGCTGCAAGCCCAGGTCGCTGAGCAGCGCCGCCGCCGCGTTGTGGCCGGCACAGCCAACCACAGAGCCGCCAGGGTGGGTGCCTGCGCTGCACGAATAGAGGCCCTGCACCGCAGGCAGGAAGGCAGGGGGTGCGCCTTCACAGGCTTGCTGCAGGGCTGGCTGGGCGGCAGCTGGGCGCTGCAGCTGGCCCGCTGGCTCCAAGGTGCTGCAGGCACCCTCGGCCCGTTGCTGCCATTGGCTGCTCTCGCCTGCACGGGGGTGCGGTACGGGAAGCGATCTGCAAAACCGAGGGAATTGTCGATGTGGTGGATGTGGCCGCGGGTGATGCCAAAGTAGCGCTCGATGGCGGGGGGCGTCAGGGTGAAGGTGTCCACCACGAGGTCGCTGGCGCCTGCAGGGAGGGGGGGGCATTGAGGGGAAGGAAGGAACTGCGGAGAACACACAACACGCTTTGCATTGAAGAGAGAGGAGGCAGGGTGGTGGGAGAGACGAGCGGGGTGAGAAGCGAGGACGAGGAGGGGCTGCGGCAGCGGGCACGCGGGCCGCGCCTCACCGGGGGCGAAGCGGTCCAGCAGGCCCAGCAGGTGCCGCACATACCCCGCCTCCTCCGCCTCCCAGCTGCTGCCGCCCGCCAGCGCATACGGCACCCACTGCACAAACAGCGCCGCGCTGTACCGCCCCTCCGCATCTGCGCCAGCAGCGCATGCCGGCTCGCGTGAATCATTGGCCGGCTTGCTGACGCACACACTACGTAGCCTGAAGGCGGCCATTGACCATTGACCCCCAGGGTTGCAAAGCATATGCAATCAACCTGCTCATTTTGTAGGAGTGCTGGCTGCGGCAGCAGCCTCACCACCGCCCCACCTGTGAGGCCGGGGTCCACCGTGGTCTGCCAGTAGATCTCTATCGTTGGAAACTCAGGCAGCCTGCCCTGCTGCACATCAGCAAACGCCTGCTGCACGCCGGCCAGCACGCTGCCCTCATCCCCCGGCAGCAGGTGGGTCGTGGTGCGGTGCTGGCCGCGGTCCTCCGGCAGGCAGGCAAAGGTGGGGAGGCCCTTGAGGGCCAGGTTGACCTGCGGGCAGCAGGGCATGGCAGCGCAGCAAGCAAGGGCCGGGGAGGTGCAGGGCGCAGGAATGCAGGCACGTGAGCTTTGCAGGCGAGTGGTAAAACAGGGAGGCAGGTGGTACCGGCAGTTTCTGTTACCTTCATGGTGGTACCGTCCTTCTTCATGCCGTCCAGGCGAGCGTTGAAGTCTGGCGGGAAGGCGGCGGCGCCTGCCAGCGTGCGCAGGCGGAAGGGGTCGGCGTTGACCACCACCGCCTTTGCCCGCACCTCCCGCCCATCGCCCGTCACGATGCCCGCCGCGGCCCTGCCCTCCAGCAGGATGCTGCACGGCGGCGGCGGCGGAGCGATGGAGGCACTGGTGGCTGGCGGTGCGGTGGGGTGGGAAAGACTGGCGGGGCCCCCAGGACAGCCAGCCCCTCAGCCGGCGCAGGCTGGGAGAGGTGGAGGCAGACGGGTCTGGCCGCACCAGCAGCGCCGCGGCAGGCGCATGGGGCACGCCCTGCCCACTGCCAGCAGCGGCGCCAGCCCTCGCCCCACCCAGGCTCGCCCACCTGCTGGCGGCCTGGCCGGTGTGGATGCTGGCTCCCGCGTGGCGCGCTGCCGCCGCCAGGCGCTGCGTCACCACGCCCATGCCGCCCTCCACCACCATCCAGGTGCCGTCCGAGCCTGGCAGGCGGCACATGTTGTGCACCAGGAAGTTCATGCCTGTGCCGGGCGTGTCCCAGCCGCCGTTGAGCCCACTGAAGCCGTCGGTGGTCTGGAGGGGCAGGGGCGGCGGCATGGGGAGGATGGGCGGGCGTTGGGAGAAGTGGAAAAAACAGCGAGGTGGAGGCATTCCAGGGGAGCACAGCTTCGACGCTGTGCTGCATCACAGACGCGCTGAAAGCACATCAGCCTGCCCCACAACCACCACCGCACCCGGCGGAGGAGCGCAGGGGCTCCTTGCTCACCGCATACATGACCTTGAGCATGTCGCTCCTGAACCCAAACCGGGCCAGGTAGTCGGCCACCGAGCCGTGGCACAGGTCCACAAAGGCCGAGCGCAGCGCCGGGCGCACATGCCGCTCAGCCGTCTCCTCTATGCTGGCCGGCTCCTGCGGGCAGCTAGGTGGGACAGGCCGGCAGGGAGGTAGGTGTGTGCAGCCAGCATGTGCTGGGCATTGTCTGTCAGGGCAGACCAGCCTCCCAGACCAAATGCAGCCATGCGTAGAGCACATGGCAAGCACGGCGGCGCTGGAGGTGGCGTGGCCAGGCGCCAGGCGCCAGCAGCCTGCCGCGGCGCTTGCCTGCAGCCAGGTGGGCCCCACATCCCGGCGCAGCGCCTCCAGTTCAGCCTGCATCGCCTGGTCGGCTCGCCAGTCCTCCTGCATGCCACACAGAGCAGCCCAAGGCCCAGGACTGGTGGCCTCGGGCCTGCCAGCGCCTGCCCCGTTTTGCCTGCCCCCTACCTTCTCGCAGCTTCCCACTCATAACACAAGGCACCCACCCAACCACACCAAGCCAGACACAAGGCCTCCACCCTCCTGCAGCCGCACCTCGCTGAAGAAGCGCACAAACTGGTCGCGCATCGCGCCGCGGTCGCTGCCAAACAGCAGGTACTTGCCGCTGCCGCCGGCGGGGGAGGGCAGGAAGTAGTGCGGGTCGCGGCGGCGCCTGCAGGCCAGGCCGGGCCGGTGGCAGCAGCACAGTCGTGAGCGGCAGCAGCCGGTGCCAGCATGGCGACTGGAGACTTGGGCGAGAGCAAGCTGGGCTCAAGCAGACGGCATCGGGCGCACAGCGGCAGATCCAGCTCCAGCAGCTGCAGCAGCTCGGGAGGCATCACGCCCAGCAGGTAGGCGCCTGCACCAGGCGGGGGAATTGTAAGTGAGATGGCCAGAGCACCAGGGCGCTAGCGCATGGCACGTGAGGGCAGCCGCTCTTGCAGCTCGCTCGCCCGTCGACTGCGGCAGGCCTGGCGCCTTGGCAAAGGGGTACTCTGTGCGGCAGGCGCCTCCCACTATGTCCTTCTCCTCATACACCTCCACCCTCAGCCCCTGCCGGGCCAGCAGCGTGGCTGCCACCAGGCCATTGTGCTGCACGCGGAGGGCGGCGGGAGCTGCGTGCTTTCGGCGGAATGCCAGGGCTGGCAAGGAAGCAGGCTCGAGGAATTACTCGGCGCCTGCGCCACGGACCACATCAGAGCACCATTGAAAGGCCTTCCATCTCACCCCGGCGCCCACAATCAGCACGTCTGGGGGGGCACTGCCGGCTGCGGTGGCGGCAGAGCGGCGGGCTAGGGCAGCGGCGGCCCCGCCCAGCCCGCTAGCGCCGCTTGCGAGCGGCTGGCTGGCCGTGATGGATCCAGCTGCTGCACCAGCTGCCTGTGCGACTGTTTTGAAGGATGCCCTCAACCACATTTTGGTGGCAGGCGGGAGACGGGCTGCAGGGTCCCGGGGATCGCGCTGGACGCCTCAAAACTCCATGGATATCTTCCTGGTGTCGATAATGGGCGGTATGGTCAGTGTTATGGTCGCCTGGCTCCGCTCCAGCCCCAGAAAGACAGGTGGCACTGGAAAGTGGCCTGGCCTGCGAAAAATGGGCTTGGGCCTCCTGGGCGCTGCATCGTGACACAGGATCAGTGAGTTGGCACTGCACAGATCGGCGTTGGGGGTCTCCAGGCCTTTGGGTTGGACCAGTGCCCTCGCCGACGGCACCCCTGCCGGCAGGTGAGCAGCAGGCCCTGCCTGGGGTTAGACACTGACGGAGGAGACGCGCCCTGGGCGCCGCACAGCCACGGGTGGCTTGCTGGGAGGGCAGAGCGGTGCATGATTACAGAACAGCGCAGAGATGCTCGTCCGTGACGACACACACCATATAAAGTCTTCAAAGTTCACTGACACCCCGCCGCCTGGCCCAGCCGAGCACTTCCACGACTGGCAGCCTGCCACCCAGCCTGAACCCTCCCACTCTGCACCCTGCGCAGGCCCCAACCGCATCAGCAGGCACCATGGCCGCACGGGTGAGTAGGCCGGCCGGCGCCGCAGGCTGGCCACCAGCCGGCAACGGGCGGGGCGGTGGGCGCTGCCCTGCCCTCGTGGTGTGTCAAGGGAGAGGCGAGATGCTGCAGCCTCTCCATGCAGCTGCCAAGGCTACAGCCTTGCCAGATACCGCGAGACGCCTGCTGGCCGGCGCTGTCGCCACTGCCTCGGCTGCCTCGCCAGCTGTCCCATTCGCTGTCCCCCCCCTGCCACCCCGCCTCCCGCCGCAGGCGGGCATGCTTGCCAAGCTGTTTGACCCGCTGGTGGCCATGATGGCACCGCGGTACCAGGCTGCTGTGGGCAAGGAGCTGATCAAGTACGGTCTGCGGTACGAGGACCTGTACGACCCGCAGCTGGACCTGGTGAGCGGGGGGCAGCTGGGGGTGCGGTGGTGATGTGCGTGCGCGCGTGCCTGCTGTGCTGGGATGATCAGCAGCAGCGGGGCCACGCTCGGAGAGGCCAGGGGGCTGGCAGGGCGTGCCTGCCGCATCCACCTGCCTCGGCGCCCGCCCGCCCCCCGCCCCTGCTGCCGCCGCACAGGATGTGGACGAGGCGCTCAAGCGGCTGCCCCAGGACGTGCTGGATGCGCGCAACCAGCGGCTGAAGCGCGCGCACGACCTCAACATGAAGCACAGCGAGCTGCCCAAGGACCTGCAGCAGCTGCAGACACCCTACTCCTTCTACCTCAAGGACGCGCTGGAGGTGGGCGGGCGGGCGTGTGTGTGTGTGTGTGTGTGTGTGTGTGTGTGCGTGCGTGCCTGTGGGGGCCTGGGCTGCATGGGAGGGGCTGGTGGTGATGGTGCTGTGATGGCTGTGTGTGAGGGGTGTGTGGCGGGCAGGGGTGGCTTTCATGCGGGCGCTCCTGCCCAGATGGGCATGGTGGAGGCAGGCTCAGGCTCGTCGGGGGCAGAGGCTGCTGGCAGAGAGGCAGGGGCCTGATGGGCGCGCCTGCTCCTCCTCACCTGCTTGCGCCTCTGCTGCCGCAGCTGGTGAGGCTGGAGAGCGACGAGCGGCTGGCACTGGGCGCCGGCAAGCCTTACGAGCGCCACTTCCCCTAGGGTGGCAGCAGCGTGCACCCCTCCTCCTGTGACGCTCCCTGGAGATAGCTGCCCGCAGCCCGCAGCCCCTGCCCCTGCCCCTTTGGCTGCTACAGCAGATGGTGGGCTGCAGCTGGCAGACAGCTGGCCAGGCGACAGCGGCACCCAAGTGGCATGCTGACGCTGCCGGCCGCTGCGAGCCCTGGGGCTGCCTCCAAGTCGTGTCAGCACTCTTGCCAGCGCGGCGCCTTTGTTTGTTGCGTGGTAGCACCCTTGCTTGTTCTCTTGTAGCACTTCGCAGCCCAGCATGGCTGCCTACACATTGCCCGTTACACTCGCTTGTGTAATGCAACAGCAGCTCGCAACTGAGGCAAGCTTTCGATTGAATGCCAACCACATCCAGAACCTGGAGTGGGATGATGATGCATGGGAGGTGATGATGCAGCAGGGCAGGGCATAGGAGTGTACAGATGCGCAGCCAGCCATTGGTCCGTCGGCATGTGTATCCATGCCAGCCAGTCGCTGCTGGGCTGAGCCACAATTCAGTTATTCGTGTATGCATGCCTATCAGACGCCAGCGCGTTGCCCGCCGCGCCCGGCCGAACCCGCTGCGGCACCCGGCTCACGCCGCCTCGCCGCGCTGCGCCAGCCTGCCATCCGCCACCTGCTTGAGGCGGTGCATGATGGCGTTGCCGCTGCAGGCGCGGTTGATCCAGACCGCGGGCGTGCCGCAGCGCCCGTACGCCTTCAGGCTGACGTACTCTGGGGCGTGCTCCGCCAGCGCCCGCACCTGCGCCTCGATCTGCCCCTCTGTGGACATCTCCTCGCCGCCCTGCTTGATGCGCAGCACCACGTCCCGCAGCTTGAGCGCGTTGGGGCCCTGCACACGCAGGCAGGCAGGCAGGCAGGCAGTAGTGTGCAGCAGGGCGGTGAGCTGGGGCCGGGAGGGGTGAGGGGGAGGATACAGCTTTGGGAGCTAGGGCTTGGGAGCTTCAGGCCCCCAAGATGCGCCCATGCAGCAGGCAGGGCCGCCGGGTGTGCCGTGGCGCCTCTGTACCTGCATGCCGAAGATGCGCTGGAGGCGGGAGAAGGTGCGGGGCAGCTGGCCCAGCGCCGCGTTGCTGTCCCGCCGCTCCACCGCCTCCTTGCTGCTCAGCCGCCGGTGCTGCTGCTCCGCGGCGTCCAGCTTCTGCGCAGGCGGGCAGGCAGGGGGAGGCAGGCAGGGGGAGGCAGGCAGAGGCAGGCAGGCAGGCGGTCAGAGTCCCGAGCAGGAGGCAAGCGCGCGCCGCGGCTGGGCAAGCAACGCGAGCGGGGTGTGTCTCCACAGGCACGAGCAAGGCAGAGCAAGCAAGGCACCCGCGCCCGGCGCCGCCCGCCGGCGCCGCCCCACCCGCAGCGTGTCCATGCTTATGATGCCTTCTGTGGACAGGCGGCGCAGCTCCTGAGGCATAGAGGCCAGCAGGCAGGCATCCTGGCCCGACAGCACGGCGGCGGCACAGCCAAACTGCAGGCCCGCGGGGCCCAGGCTGGCCGCCAGCGCCGCCTGCGAGGGGTGCACCTGCGCCGCCGCCGCCGCCGCCTCAGCCGCCTCCTCCTCCTCCGGCCGCCGCTGGTGCTGCCGGTCCAGCTGGCTGCTCAGCTTGTCTAGGGGGGTGCCTGGCTTGCCGGGGCCGCGACACGAAGCCGGGGCCGCGGCCGAGGGCGCCGCCAGGCCGGCTGAGGCGGCGGCGGGCTGGCTGAAGGACAGGCGGCGCTGGCGCTGGCGGTCGATGGTGCTGGGGTGCATCGGCGGCCTGCCGTGGCGCCCTGCATCACACAGGCAGACAGACGGCGAGCGGAGGCGCGGCTGGGTCGGCGAGGGCGCTGCAGAGAGGTGAGGTGGGGCGGCCCCGCCCACTGCTCTGGCGCCTGTTGCGGTGCTGCCCAGCCCACCTGTGGAGGGCTGGGGCTGGGCCCCCAGCGTGGCGGGCGTCAGCGGAACCGCCAGCTGCTGCGCCGCCGCCGCTGGCGCCGCCGTGGCGCCCAGAATGGCGGGGCTGCCGCCGCGGGACGCTGCGGCGGGCGCCTCGGGGCGTGGCGGCAGCTGCTGCTGCGGCACATCCGCGGCCTCCTCGGGGTATG